TTAATATTTTAGGGTTGGTGTCACCCCCTCTCAGGGGGCTGCACGTGTTAACGTGATTTTTTTCCAAACTTGTGTCCCCCTAGAAAACAAAATGTCCTGTATATATATATCTTTTAGTTGATAAATCGAACGTATCAGATAATATATAATCGGCTTACAGGAAGTCTGCGTCATAACAGTTTTATTGAGCGATCACTGTTATTTTGGGATTAATGACAACTTATTCTTTTCATGCTGTTCATGAACCACAAATATTATCCTATACATACGTATCGAAAAAATACGGAAAGTATGCAGTATTATATAAAGTCAATAAATGATCGAAAGTAGGAAGTTATTTTTGATGTGGAATTGCTTTTTTGTTATTTTCTTCGTTCATTATGTAAATCTTACTCGAGATAATCACATAGAGTAGCCACATGCCTTATTGAAATGTTGTTTGCGTTGTCTACTAGAAAAATCCATTTATTGTAACAATGTCAATAACACACGCTTGGCAGCAAACTTTTCGTTTCACTAACTTTGAACCACCCATGATGTTTAAAAAAGCATAGATTTCTTTTATTTTTAAACATATCTTGTTGTAAAATGCTATGGATGCGGTATTGCTGGGCTTCTTCTATGGGGTTAATTAATGAACGATCGTCACACTTTCTACTCACATCTGCGCGTAGTTTTGGCGTCCTATTGTACAAGCAGAAATTCATATTCCCTAACAAATAATGAATATACTAAGTGACATATCATTCCGAACACCCAGTTTAAATGGTTTTATTTTAATAAAAGTTGGTGAATGTATACTGCTTTTTTTTAATTCACTAACGCTCTAAAAATGAATATTTCAGCCGCAGTAAAGAATCAACGTTGGCGGATTTTGGTTCTTGACATCCTTTACGATCGGTTACGATGCCTAGAGTACGGAGACCTGTAGGATTTCGTCAACTTAGTGAGTTTGATAGGGGCCGTATAGTGGGACTTCGGGAAGCTGGACTCTCTTTTCGGGCAATTGCAGTTAGAGTGCAAAGAAATGTAGACACTGTGGTTAGGTGTTGTCAGGCATGGCTTCGAGAAGGCCGTACGCAAAGAGCAAGGGGCACTGGACGCCGCCGTAGAAAAACAGACCGTGAAGATCGCCGCCTAAGGTTATTGGCCTTAAGGGACCGTTTCTCCACTATCAGGTCCATTGCTAATGAATGGTTTGCAGAACACGGAAGACCTATTGGCATGCGAAGTGTTTACCGACGAATGAGAAGTTTTGGCTTGTTTTCATACCGGCCACACTGGGTCCTCCCTTTAACTCGAGAACAGCGACGTAATCGCCTTGAGTGGTGCAGACAACGGTCACTCTGGGATCAGGAATGGAACAGTATTGTCTTTAGTGACGAGTCTCGATTTTGTTTAGGCATGCACGATGGTCGTGCCAGGGTTAGAAGGCGACGTGGTGAAAGGAGGAATCCACAGTTTTTTTTGAAAGACATGTTCATCACATTGTTGGAGTTATGATTTCGGATGCTATAGCTTATGGTTCCAGGTCACCTTTAATCTTCATCAGAGGTAACATGAACGCGCAGCGTTATATCCACGAAGTTCTAGGACCCCATCTTTTACCCTATCTTGACACCCTGGCAGATCCAACTTTCCAACAAGATAATGCCCGACCACATGTTGCAAGAGTCACAATAGGCTTCTTTCCACATAATGATGTCACATTGTTACCATGGCCACCAAGATCTCCCGACTTATCCCCAACTGAGCACGTGTGGGATATGATGGGTAGGAGATTGCTCAATTTGCAACGTCCTTCTCAGACTCTAGAAGCACTTCGAGAGGAGTTGGTGGTAGCCTGGAATGAGATACCACAGGAGGACATTGACCACCTGATCAGAAGCATGCCAAGGCGCGTTGGAGAATGCGTAGCACATCAGGGTGCATCCACACATTATTAAAGGTCAAAGGGCTTTAAAGCACTGCAATCATTTTGAAATTTTTATCAGTTACTTATTATGCCTCATTAAGTACTTATACAAAATTTTATTAAAATAAAACCATTTAAACTGGGTGTTCGGATTTATATGTCACTTAGTATATTTGCGAACCGGAATCACGCCTATTATGGAAAGCTTGAAATTTAAGATACACGAGAATTTATATGACGACAGAGATTTCCCAAAGATAAATATTCAAGAGTAGCTTAATTTTCCCGAATAGATCCAACGCAAGAGACTTGTGCACGTTTATCGAAATTTTGACGTCAGTGAAATTATGGTATATTAAATAATTAATGGCCGTGTGACCTTAAACATTTTCTCTCTATTAGATCTACATTATTTCAATGGTATATTTATGAGTTATTGATTACATTCATCGTCTTCCATACGAAGGTGAAAAATGATGGCTATTCACTAGGCGGAATGTAACGTCAGCGTCGACGTTTGTGTTTCCGTATAATTCATTGAAACTAGTTTTGGATTCGTCTATTTTAAACGATTTTGTTACAAATATGTCACCTTTGTAAATGATTCGTCTGATAATATGTTTTGTGCCTAGACCATGTTGCTTAATACCATTAGGCTGAAAAATTGTAAAAAATAATGAGATTTTGAGTCGAAGAAAATTCCGACTATTTCCCTGATTCGAATGGGGCAGCGTGAAATCGTCTTTCATGAGAAATATATGCTCTTTATATACATTTCTCTAATAAATACATCTTCTAATATCGAACAGTTGTGGGTAATGTTGCAATTTAATGATGTTTCATATGCTGTCGGAGTTGTATACTAAGTGACATATAAATCCGAACACCCAGTTTAAATGGTTTTATTTTAATAAAATTTTGTATAAGTACTTAATGAAGCATATACTTCTCGAAGCCATGCCTGACAACACCTTACTACAGTGTCTACACTTCTTTGCACTCTAACTGCAATTGCCCAAAAAGAAAGTCCAGCTTCCCGAAGTCCCACTATAGGGCCTCTATCAAACTTACTAAGTTGACGAAATCGTACAGGTCTCCGTACTCTAGGCATCGTAACCGATCGTAAAGGATGTCAAGAACCAAAATCCGCCAACGTTGATTCTTTACTGCGGCTGAAATATTCATTTTTAGAGCGTTAGTGAATTAAAAAAAAAGCAGTATAAAGACCGGAATGTCCAACTGATAAGGCTGAAAATTTTTTCACTTGTTATTTACAGTGAGATAAATACATTCACCAACTTTTATTAAAATGGAATGTGACGAGTCTCGATTTTGTTTAGGCATGCACGATGGTCTGGCCAGGGTTAGAAGGCGACGTGGTGAAAGGAGGAATCCACAGTTTTTTGTTGAAAGACATGTTCATCACACTGTTGGAGTTATGGTTTGGGGTGCTATAGCTTATGGTTCCAGGTCACCTTTAATCTTCATCAGAGGTAACATGAACGCGCAGCGTTATATCCATGAAGTTCTAGAACCCCATCTTTTACCCTATCTTGAAAACCCTGGCAGATCCAACTTTCCAACAAGATAATGCCCGACCACATGTTGCAAGAGTCACAATAGACTTCTTTCAACATAATGATGTCACATTGTTACCATGACCACCAAGATCTCCCGACTTATCCCCAATTGAGCACGTGTGGGATATGATGGGTAGGAGATTGCTCAATTTGCAACGTCCTCCTCAGACTCTAGAAGCACTTCGAGAGGAGTTGGTGGTTGCCTGGAATGAGATACCACAGAAAGACATTGACCACCTGATCAGAAGCATGCCTAGGCGCGTTGGAGAATGCGTAGCACATCAGGGTGCATCCACACATTATTAAAGGTCAAAGGGCTTTAAAGCAGTGCAATCATTTTGAAATTTTTATCATTTACTTATTATGCTTCATTAAGTACTTATACAAAATTTTATTAAAATAAAACCATTTAAACTGGGTGTTCGGATTTATATGTCACTTAGTATATATATAGTAACGATTTTCTTACACAGCAAATATCACTGATTTTATACACATGCAGACCAATACTCACAATCATCCTGATGCGATCTTGCTATTCGACCAAATAACCAACTTTCTTCTCAGAGACTCAGAGATGAAAGCTATATACTACTCGGCTTCACAAAACCTATGCAACCAACAATGCGTGTACGTATAGTTGAGCTTTTCCTCTATAGATGGACGCTCACAACGATCCTAGTGAGCAAACGAGGAATGAGTGTTTCCATCCTAAAAACTACCTAGTCTTCAAAATGACATCCTATAGGTTTTTTTTTGATGTTTTATAGGTTTTTTGCATAAGACTCGTGCCGGTGCCAGTTTGAGCGCGCTCTCGATTAACAATTAAACAATGAAGCTGCACAACAATAATGCTCCCCAAAATGCTCTGAGAATTTTTAATGAATGTCTCAAGGATATTTAGGAACTTTAAGAACAGTAAAATTTTCTATTTTTCATACCGCTTATCTGGGTCGAAACTGGCCTATTCTGCAAGCTTGTTTAGAAACTGTCATTTATCGTGACCAGTTTGTTAGTATGTCTCTATGCGTAGGTCGAATCTTGAATCTGAACTTTGAAATAACAACTTCACCCATTTGAGCTAGAATTTTAATACGCGTGACAATACAGAAGGAACTAAATGCCGCCATTTTGAGTCCAATATGGCGGATGCTACAAGATGACGACACACCATTTTCATAGTAACCTCTATGATATGGGTATCAAATAAAAAGGCTTGAGGAGCGAAGCATAATATTTAAAGCAACGTTATTTTGAATCTACTATGAAGACTATTATGACATCGAGCTGATCTATAGGATCATCATGAGAACTTTGTATCAAATCGATGGAGTCTCATCCAGCCCTGTTTTTGAATTTTAGTGCGTTTTGAAAGCTAAGTAAAAGCTTGTCTTTGTAATTGTATTTTTTCCATTTATTCAAATATTAAATTTCTTATATCTTGAAAACTATCAACTTTGCTTATTGTTTATTCTTTGCTATGGACATCTTTGTCACACCACTAACCTGAAAATCGTCTATCAAAATTTGAAGTCTAATCAAACTGTCAACTACCATCAAAATCTTTCAAAATTTGAAACATGTTTAAGCAGTAAATAACGTCTGTAAAAATATTCAAAATTCTCAGTGATAGCTCATATTACATCTGTTGGAAATTTTCGTAAAACTATACAATGGATGCAGTTGTTGATAGAGCGGCCGTTATTCCACACCACAAGGAGAAGAAAGAAGTAGAGAATAAAAGTTTAAAAGCGAGCTTATGCTCTTGGGGTTCCCTGAACACGTTACTAGACGAAAAACGTGTAGCCGAGCCTGCCGCGAAAGATTCCCTCGACGCTATCTTCGATCCCAACGAAAGGGATGAATCAGACTCTATCGAAACTGTAGATGACATTACTGGTGCATCTTTGTTATCAGCGCCTTTGGGCTCAAATAATGCTGTCCTGCTCTTCCGAAGCTCTGCTTTAGCCGAGAGCAATGAGTATCTAATTCGAGAAAAACCAGCTTTCAAACTACACATTACTTATAAGGTGCTCCAGGCCGAGACTAAGCTGTTGTCGAAGCTTTTAGATTGTCATGGTATATGCGAAGTAGCCCCAAACTCTAGTGATTTCAACCTACTGTGGACTGGTTCTCATCCAAAACCAGGTATGTCGTAAAGCTCAACACTCTACATTTATCTTTATTCAATATTTGTCTAGTGTCACCGTTGTCAAGTTTTTTCCATTATCTGCTTCGCGAGTGGTTCCAAAGATCAGAACCATTTTACACCAAACATAATCATCAAAGGGAAATTTTAGTTCGGTTAAATTTCTAGATTATTAGGTTCTTATAACCCCTACGCATACAGAGGGGACTATGCGAAAATTGATCAGACCTTAAGAAAATATTCGTAAGGCTCCGTTTTTTAATCGCTTCAGCACCTAAGTGTCATTTTTGCAGTCATAAAACGACTTAATTCCAAAGACATTCGGCTTCTTTATCCTGAATTTTCAAAACATTATCTATCACTTTACGTGCAGGTTACATCCTGGTCCTAATTTTGAGGTCATTCACGAGGGTGATTACGATGAAAAATGTGATGGGTACGGGCATATTTTTTAATGAAGTTTCCAAGCAATATTCTGCCTCCCAACATCGCTTCACGTTTTCGGGTACTATTTTAAAAAAAAATAACCAACTTGAAAGAACATACAGCTTCCGCCTGGATATTGTTCAATGATCGAAGTCCAAGAAATGAAACGGCAAAAACCTTATAAGAAAAAGCTTTCGGTTCAACATGTAGAACTTAAGTGCCCGTGGGTTCAAAGTGTTTTCGAGCTACAGAGACTTCAAGTTGTGTTGCGGGTATGGTACACTATCCATGATCTTTTTACGCCCCTATCAATATCTCCTATCTATTGACGATCAGTGTAATTCCGTCATATAGTAAGTGACATATAAATCCGAACACCCAGTTTAAATGGTTTTATTTTAATAAAATTTTGTATAAGTACTTAATGAAGCATAATAAGTAAATGATAAAAATTTCAAAATGATTGCACTGCTTTAAAGCCCTTTGACCTTTAATAATGTGTGGATGCACCCTGATGTGCTACGCATTCTCCAACGCGCCTAGGCATGCTTCAGATCAGGTGGTCAATGTCCTCCTGTGGTATCTCATTCCAGGCAACCACCAACTCCTCTCGAAGTGCTTCTAGAGTCTGAGGAGGACGTTGCAAATTGAGCAATCTCCTACCCATCATATCCCACACGTGCTCAATTGGGGATAAGTCGGGAGATCTTGGTGGCCATGGTAACAATGTGACATCACTATGTTGAAAGAAGTCTATTGTGACTCTTGCAACATGTAGTCGGGCATTATCTTGATGGAAAGTTGGATCTGCCAGGGTGTCAAGATAGGGTAAAAGATGGGGTTCTAGAACTTCGTGGATATAACGCTCCGCGTTCATGTTTCCTCTGATGAAGATTAAAGGTGACCTGGAACCATAAGCTATAGCACCCCAAAACATAACTCCAACAGTGTGATGAATATGTCCTTCAACAGAAAACTGTGGATTCCTCCTTTCACCACGTCGCCTTCTAACCCTGGCACGACCATCGTGCATGTCTAAACAAAATCGAGACTCATCACTAAAGACAATACTGTGCCATTCCTGATCCCAGAGTGACCGTTGTCTGCACCACTCAAGGCGATTACGTCGGTGTTCTCGAGTTAAAGGGAGGACCCAGTGTGGCCGGTATGAAAACAAACCAAAACTTCTCATTCGTCGGTAAACACTTCGCATGCCAATAGGTCTTCCGTGTTCTGCAAACCATTCATTTGCAATGGACCTGGTAGTGGAGAAACGGTCCCTTAAGGCCAATAATCTTAGGCGGCGATCTTCACGGTCTGTTGTTCTACGGCGGCGTCCAGTGCCCCTTGCTCTTTGCGTACGGCCTTCTCGAAGCCATGCCTGACAACACCTAACCACAGTGTCTACACTTCTTTGCACTCTAACTGCAATTGCCCGAAAAGAAAGTCCAGCTTCCCGAAGTCCCACTATACGGACCCTATCAAACTCACTAAGTTGACGAAATCGTACAGGTCTCCATACTCTAGGCATCGTAACCGATCGTAAAGGATGTCAAGAACCAAAATCCGCCAACGTTGATTCTTTACTGCGGCTGAAATATTCATTTTTAGAGCGTTAGTGAATTAAAAAAAAACAGTATAAAAACCGGAATGTCCAACTGATAAGGCTGAACATTTTTTCACTTGTTATTTACAGTAAGATAAATACATTCACCAACTTCTATTGAAATAAAACCATTTAAACTGGGTGTTCGGATTTATATGTCACTTAGTATATGTACAGGGTGGTATAATCTTTAATGGACGGAGTACTTTTCCTAGACTCTTACTCATGATCCGCATACGTAATTATGTTATGGATTAGTTTCAAGTTAGCCTTGTCTTTAGGAATGATTGTAAAGTTCACTTGTTTGAAAAATAGCCGGAAGCCATAACGTTTTTTCGGGGTCTTTTTCGATTCGATATAAATGTTACTTAAGCCGAACTACCTCCTGCGTAGGTACATTGAGATCACTAGGGCCTCATCAACGCGTCAACCACTTTCCTCGGTCTTACGAGCTGACAAGGAAAGACCGTTTATACAAAAACATAGAACGAATGCAACAACTGAAAGGATTCAAAAACTTCGATTTCATTCCGCAAACCTTTGTGATGCCGATCGAATATAGGGACCTGTGCACAGCGCACCATAGATCTAGAGGGCCATGGATAGTGAAGCCTGTTGCAAGTAGTAGAGGACGAGGAATTTTCATCGTTGAGACTCCTGCACAAGTGCCACTTGAAGAGCCAGTGGTCGTCGCTAAATATATCTCGAACCCTCTGCTGGTTGCTGGGCACAAATGCGATCTCAGGCTCTATGTGGTTGTTACAAGCTTCGATCCATTGCTGGTCAGTACTTCATGCCTTTTTCATACTTTTTAACGCTCTGCTATTCACTTGCCTGACTGTAGTATCATTAAAAATAAGTTGAGAAATAACTTTTTCTGGGTGTAACACTTCTAATGTCACTGAGTATATTTTATGAATGAATGAAAACATTTGATAATGTACTTCTCTTAAATTTATTATTATTATAAGTCCAGTGTGCACCCTTTGAACATCTAAATGAGACAAGTGGATAAAAAGCACAGAATTTTCGTAAAATGTTTATTTACGATTGACAAGTTTTAGTAGTGATCTGTCTTTAGCAATTATTTTTCAAATAATGATATGCAATATTTTATAAATTAGTTGTACTAACAATAATTTTCACTTAAAATTTACGGAAGTAAATTATTACAAAGTAAACGTTGTGTGCCTTTAAAGCATACTTTCAGCTGATTGTCGCATCTTTTTAAATGAACAGCAAAATAGGTGTTCTCTTTTGAGCATTCTGCTCTTCATCGCTATGAGCCCGTAAATTTATTGCTTCAGGTATACATCTACGAAGAAGGACTGGTGAGGTTCGCGACGGTAAGATACGACGCTAGTCGCAAGCAGCTGTGGAACCCCTGCATGCACCTTTGCAACTACAGTATCAACAAGTACCACAGCGACTATGTCAAATCCGACGACCCGTCGGCTGAGAACGTAGGTCATAAATGGACCCTGAGCGCGCTTCTGAGGCATTTGAAGAGTGAGGGTAAAGATACAACGATGTTGATGTCTCAAATTGAAGACCTAGTGATCAAAGCAATTTTGGCATCGGCAAATGCCATCGTGGCGGCTTGCAGAATGTTCGTGCCTCACAGCAGTGTCTGTTTTGAGCTCTACGGCTTTGACATACTTATAGACAGCACTTTGAAACCCTGGCTTCTGGAGGTCAATCTATCCCCGTCTCTCAACTGTGACAGTCCGTTGGATGTTCGACTAAAGTCAGCTATGCTTGCTGATCTGCTTTCTCTTATAGGTAATTTGTACTTCGATGTCATCATTTCGAATCCTACCATGAGCAAGATGTATTGAAAATCTTTTTGATTTTTGTTTTTTTTTCTGTTACGGAATTAAGCTCCGTTCGACTGCAATGCAGATGCTGTACCGCTGCACCAAATTAAATGACAGCCGTCAGTTTTCAGAACCGGTAATTATATACTGAGTTGAAAAAAAGGTGAACACCTACGTATGATTCACTGGACAACAAATTTTAGTTTTTTAATTGTATCTTGTGGGAAAAGTGCACTTCTTTGTTAATTTTGGGGCGCTGAATCCAAAAATGACAATGAAATAAAAAAATTAGTTGCGGTTTAGAAAAAAAACTTTTTATTTTTAAGGATATATTAGAAAAAGTAACAAGATTCATATACTTATAAGAATCACTATATGCGCTGTCTTTTTGCTGTTCTTTTATGGATCGTTTCTGGAGCATCTCTACCAAGAGTCCAACAGTAGTCTGCAAGCATGAAAGGATTCCACTTTTCCTGGTACCTTTTTTCCATTGTTGAAATATCCTGATGAAAACGTTCGCCGTGCTCATAACTTACGGCTCCGCAATTGTCAGGAAAAAAGTCCAGGTGTGAGTGTAGGAAATGTATCTTAAGAGACATATTACAGCCCATCTTTTGATACGATGACAGCATATTTTTGACAAGGGTTTTATAGTTGTCAGCTTTTCTATTTCCCAAGAAATTAGTGACCACCAGACGGAAATCATTCCAAGCAGTTTTTTCAATACCTGTTAAAGTGTTTTCAAACTGTGTATCTTTCAAAATAGTTCGAATCTGTGGCACAACAAAAATACCTTCTTTAACCTTTGCCTCACTTAGTCTTGGAAATTTCTGACGCAGGTATTGAAAAGCTGACCCATCTATATCTAATGCCTTGACAAAGTTTTTCATTAGGCCCAACTTGATATGCAGTGGTGGTAATTAATTTTTTTTCGAATCTACTAATGGCATATGCTGTACATTTTTTTGACCTGGCTCTAGGAATTGACGAACAGGCCAGTTTTGTCTGGTGTAATGAAGTGCCTTTGCCCGACTGTCCCATTCACACAAAAAACAGCAAAACTTTGTGTAGACTAGCTGCAGCCCAAGTAAAAGTGCAACAACTTTCAAATCGCCACAAATATGCCATTGGTGATCATCGTATTTTATGCATGTCAATAGGTACTTCATATTGTCATATGATTCTTTCATGTGAACTGCATACCCTACAGGAAGAGATGGTAAAATATTTCCAATATGCAATAACACTGCCTTTAAACTCAATGTTGAACTGTCTATAAACAATCTCCATTCTTCTGGGTTATAGTTTATATTTAAAGCCGCCAGTAAGCCGTTAATGTTACTGCAGAAAACCAAGTTATTCTCCATATTGAAAAATGGTTCTAAGTCTTTGGGGCGTTTACGAAAAACACATACCGAAACATCGTCTTCTAACAAGTTCCACTGCTGCAGTCTTGATCCAAGTAACTCTGCTTTACATTTTGGAAGTTCTAAATCTCTTACAAGATCATTTAATTCTGACTGTGTTATTTTGTGCGGTTGGTGGCATGACGTGCTCGGTATAAAATCAGGATCTCTTGACGTTGATGGCATATCTTCTTCCTGACGAATCACTCGATCGCCATGATCTGATTCGTTTTCTGATTCGCAAGTGTAGGATGCTGGGGGTTTTGGAATAGGATTTTCGTCACTGTGAGGCACAGGTCTCATCGCAGATGGTATGTCTGGGTAGTTAATAACCGATTTTTTTTCTTGGACATACCTGTGGCTTGTGCAACACAAGGTACCATGCAAAAGTAACAATCATTAATATGATTTGTAGGCTCTCTCCAAACCATTGGGACAGCAAAGCGCATAGGCCGTTTTTTGCCATTTAACCAGCTCCTCAGACTTGAAGCACATGTATTACAGTAGATGTGGGGTGCCCACTGTTTGTCTTGATCACCTAGTTTACAACCGAAATAAAGCCGATATGCCTTTGTTATTAGTGGAATAATAGACGGTCTCTGAGACGCAAAAGTCACATCACCACACACGTAACAAAACTGATCTGGATTGTTTACACACTTTCGAGACATCTTGCATGAACGCTGTCAACCAACTGAGGAAAAAATGGCCAATATAAAACAATATAATGTACACGTATGTATAACGTAACACAATCATGCCGATTACATCATCTTTCCTTGCCAAATATAAAAATGTAGCACGTGCATTCTTGTGGATTACAGTATATTAACACTGTCACAGCAGGAACACATATAATTACCGTATCTCTAAAACTTGAACTAATATTGAAAAAATAAGTTTCATTCCGTTTTAACCACATTAAAAATAGTAATATTTTGTTGATTTTATTTAGGATATTTTTTGGCTGTTGATCAGTGATTAGAATTCACGAATTCCATAGTGATAAAATGGTCAAGTTTTTCTATTCTATTCTAAGTTTTTATGGCCGCTGCGTGTATTGTTTGGTGATAAAGAAGCATTTAGTTTTCGTACATTTACGGTGTCAATTAAATGTTAAATTTCTAAGTTAAGTTTGAAATAAGAGTGACGTAAGTACCTTCAAATATCAACGATACTAGCATTTCATCGCAACAAAAGAGAAACAGAAACAAGTAGTCTACAATGGGGGTCGAACCCGGTACCTTCATGTTGCTTACGTATTCCACTGATCCATCGCAGGTATAGCTATTACTTGTCAAAAAATTACTATGCATTCTATGCTATGCTGTTATCAGTGATATTTCATATTAACTCCTGCTCCGAATACAAAAGATGTACAAAAATTTTGCTCGAAAATAATGAATGAGTTCACATTTTCAAGTTTGTATCCTATACAAAAATATACTAAGTGACATATAAATCCGAACACCCAGTTTAAATGGTTTTATTTTAATAAAATTTTGTATAACTACTTAATGAAGCATAATAAGTAAATGATAAAAATTTCGAAATGATTGCACTGCTTTAAAGCCCTTTGACCTTTAATAATGTGTGGATGCACCCTGATGTGCTACGCATTCTCCAACGCGTCTATGCATGCTTCTGATCAGGTGGTCAATGTCCTCCTGTGGTATCTCATTCCAGGCAACCACCAACTCCTCTCAAAGTGCTTCTAGCGTCTGAGGAGGACGTTGCAAATTGAGCAATCTCCTACCCATCATATCCCACACGTGCTCAATTGGGGATAAGTCGGGAGATCTTGGTGGCCATGGTAACAATGTGATATCACTATGTTGAAAGAAGTCTATTGTGACTCTTGCAACATGTGGTCGGGCATTATCTTGTTGGAAAGTTAGATCTGCCAGGGTGTCAAGATAGGGTAAAAGATGGGGTTCTAGAACTTCGTGGATATAACGCTGCGCGTTCATGTTACCTCTGATGAAGATTAAAGGTGACCTGGAACCATGAGCTATAGCACCCCAAACCATAACTCCAACAGTGTGATGAACATGTCTTTCAACAAAAAACTGTGGATTCCTCCTTTCACCACGTCGCCTTCTAACCCTGGTACGACCATCGTGCATGCCTAAACAAAATCGAGACTCGTCACTAAAGACAATACTGTTCCATTCCTGATCCCAGAGTGACCGTTACCTGCACCACTCAAGGCGATTACGTCGCTGTTCTCGAGTTAAAGGGAGGACCCAGTGTGGCCGGTATGAAAACAAGCCAAAGCTTCTCATTCGTCGGTAAACACTTCGCATGCCAATAGGTCTTCCGTGTTCTGCAAACCAGACCTGGTAGTGGAGAAACGGTCCCTTAAGGCCAATAATCTTAGGCGGCGATCTTCACGGTCTGTTGTTCTACGGCGGCGTCCAGTGCCCCTTGCTCTTTGCGTACGGCCTTCTCGAAGCCATGCCTGACAACACCTAACCACACTTCTTTGCACTCTAACTGCAATTGCCTGAAAAGAAAGTCCAGCTTCCCGAAGTCCCACTATACGGCCCCTATCAAACTCACTAAGTTGACGAAATCGTACAGGTCTCCGTACTCTAGGCATCGTAACCGATCGTAAAGGATGTCAAGAACCAAAATCCGCCAACGTTGATTCTTTACTGCGGCTGAAATATTCATTTTTTGAGTATTAGTGAATTAAAAAAAAGCAGTATAAAAACTGGAATGTCCAACTGATAAGGCTGAAAATTTTTTCACTTGTTATTTACAGTAAGATAAATACATTCACCAACTATTATTAAAATAAAACCATTTAAACTGGGTGTTCGGATTTATATGTCACTTAGTATACTACGTTAGAATATGATCAACGATTCTTGTGGCATTGATACACAATTTCTAATGCAAATGTTGATTCTGAATGTCATAAGCACCGATTGCGAATTTAACAAAAAACTATTCGCTTTGATCATTACCGTGTATCGCGTTGCAATATATCTGTCCCAAGTTCACCTATTTCTTAAGGTATTCCCGCTGTGAATCCGATGATGAAGCAAATACCGAGCAGACCGAGTACGAACACCAGCGTCAGCTTGAAGATGAAATTCCCAAACTGCCGGCAAGTCCATTCTGCCGAAAATTTACATAACATGCACTCATCAGTAGGCGGACCAAGGTTTTCTTCCACAAGTGGGGTGCAATCAGCTGCTTCGTCGATACCCCAATTGAATGGCGAGGAAGCTAGGATCGTGAAAATGGCTACCAGCCAATTTAAGCGGCGCGGTGGCTTTATTAGGTATTTACCAGTAATATACACCAGCGACTTCATGCATTTGAAATATTGTTATCAACCAAAAATGATGTTTTTAAGTACTGTAACGTCTGATCATGTTTTTTAACTAAGATAGCATTCGTCAATTGACATACATGCTTGGGTTTGGTTATTCTATTAACTGATTCACATTTGGATCAAAAACTTGCAACGACAAACAACACAGAAAGCTTCTGCAGTCGATCTAAGACAATATTCATTGAATCTGATTTTAATCTCATCTAAATATTGCGAAAAGTGTTCATTCTAGAAAAAAGTTTCAAACAAAAGTTGTGAGAGTTTGAGATGTCAAAATGATAGTGACCATAGCAATGACCTTAACTACGATGTTTGATGTGATTTCAAGGTCTAGAATATTTTCAAATAGAGCCCTACTTTTGGAAAGATGAGCAAATTTTACGTCCAAACATCACCTTGTCCATCACCTTGAAGACTTGAAGGTCTGACTGAGACATTGAAAACAATTTACTGTAGCAAAAATTTTCAACAGCACAGTTTAAGCTTGTGGAGATTACCTAAAGGTGACCTTGATCAAGACCTTCAAGTTTTTATGCTGGAAATGGAAAAAGCATGGAATTTCACGTCCGAATATGACCCTGAACTCAAATAATATTTAAGCTTGACACAACCTTGACTTTGAGGTCAATTTCGCGAACGAATGTAAAATTTCCTGCTTTTTGTATTTAAAGTATGAACATGAGGAGGTTTCCATTGGAAATTCTGATATGATCAAGGTTTATCGCAACTGCAAGTACGTGAAACCTCAAAACCACCCCCTTCTGGACCAAGCTTTGGGGGGTGATCTCATCTATTGAAAACGCTTCGCTGGTATAGAAAATCAGTGTCTGTTAGATTTTGACGTAAAATAACATATTGAGGTGGTCATCCTGTAAGACGTTTTCTTCTAAAACCACTTTACTAATACGGGTGTTCGGTGGGAAAGTTCACTTTTTGATTTAAGAACTACAAACTTAATGAACAGAAAATATTTATTACTTTCAATATATTCGTAAATTCGGCGGGTATTATTTCTTAAATATACTAAGTGACATATAAAACCCAGTTTAAATGGTTTTATTTTAATAAAAGTTGGTGAATGTATTTATCTTACCGTAAATAACAAGTGAAAAAATGTTCAGCCTGATCAGTTGGATATTCCGGTTTTTATAATCCTTTTTTTAATTCACTAACGCTCTAAAAATGAATATTTCAGCCGCAGTAAAGAATCAACGTAGGCGGATTTTGGTTCTTGAGATCCTTTACGATCGGTTACGATGCCTAGAGTACGGAGACCTGTACGATTTCGTCAACTTAGTTAGTTTGATAGGGGCCGTATAGTGGGACTTCGGGAAGCTGGACTTTCTTTTCGGGCAATAGCAGTTAGAGTGCAAAGAAGTGTAGACACTGTGGTTGTCAGGCATGGCTTCGAGAAGGCCGTACGCAAAGAGCAAGGGGCACTGGACGCCGCCGTAGAACAACAGACCGTGAAGATCGCCGCCTAAGATTATTGGCCTTAAGGGACCGTTTCTCCACTACCAGGTCCATTGCAAATGAATGGTCTGCAGAACACGGAAGACCTATTGGCATGCGAAGTGTTTACCGACGAATGAGAAGTTTTGGCTTGTTTTCATACCGGCCACACTGGGTCCTCCCTTTAACTCGAGAACACCGACGTAATCACCTTGAGTGGTGCAGACAACGGTCACTCTGGGATCAGGAATGGAACAGTATTGTCTTTAGTGACGAGTCTCGATTTTGTTTAGGCATGCACGATGGTCGTGCCAGGGTTAGAAGGCGACGTGGTGAAAGGAGGAATCCACAGTTTTTTGTTGAAAGACGTGTTCATCACACTGTTGGAGTTATGGTTTGGGGTGCTATAGCTTATGGTTCCAGGTCACCTTTAATCTTCATCAGAGGTAACATGAACGTGCAGCGTTATATCCACGAAGTTCTAGAACCCCATCTTTTACCCTATCTTGACACCCTGGCAGATCCAACTTTCCAACAAGATAATGCCCGACCACATGTTGCAAGAGTCACAATAGGCTTCTTTCAACATAATGATGTCACATTGTTACCATGGCCACCAAGATCTCCCGACTTATCCCCAATTGAGCACGTGTGGGATATGATGGGTAGGAGATTGCTCAATTTGCAACGTCCTCCTCAGACTCTAGAAGCACTTCGAGAGGAGTTGGTTGTTGCCTGGAATGAGATACCACAGGAGGACATTGACCACCTGATCAGAAGCATGCCTAGGCGCGTTGGAGAATGCGTAGCACATCAGGGTGCATCCACACATTATTAAAGGTCAAAGGGCTTTAAAGCAGTGCAATCATTTTGAAATTTTTATCATTTACTTATTATGCTTCATTAAGTACTTATACAAAATTTTATTAAAATAAAACCATTTAAACTGGGTGTTCGGATTTATATGTCACTTAGTATATATAAAATATTTAGAAGATGATTTAGTCAATTATTTTTAATTTCCTAGGATATTCCCTGCTGTGGATAGTTGGTCGAGATATTCACAGTATTTGGACACGCAGACAGGAATTCCAACTTCCGGAGGCAGTAGCAGCAACTACATCAACAATAATACGCGTAACTACAATCTGTTGCTGTTTCGGTATCTGTTTCCGGAAGACTATTCGAGCGCGTGCGACAAGAAATTCAATAAATCACCACTGCGACCAATATACCCACACATGGAACAGCACAAGTTAGTATACCATATGTAGCAGTATTTTTTGGCTAAATAGTGTAAACTAGAGCTACGATTACGAGTTCAAGTGTTAGTGGACTTTAAATCGAAACAGTCAACTTTACATACCAAACTTTTCCAAACTTGTTAAATACAAACTACGGAGTATGACATGATCGCTAATGGGATGTTGACTGTAGAAAACTGCATGCTTAACCTTAACTGAATAGTCTTAAGAATGGTATTATATTATTTTTGAACCTGCAACACGAAATGTAAAATAAAATGTCACTGACTACGCTGTTGCTTTGCAGCTGTAGGATGCAGGATACCTCAGGAGCTATGAAAGTTATATACTAAGTGACATATAAAATGCAACACCCAGAATTATTTATTTAATTTTGATAAAAACTTGTAAACATATTTGCTGTCATGGAAGTATACGGTGACAAAATGTTGAAGGCATTACGAGCCGCACTTTTTTCGTGAAGGCTTTTTTTGTTATATCAGGATCCGAACAATATGAATATGTTTACTTAGTATTCGGTGATTTTTGTGTGTTGGTTCTAGTTGTTTATAACTTTGCGAGATTGAGGGGGGTCGGATAAAAGGGGGTGTGAGGGGTGAAAAGGAAACGATTGTGGGCTGGTCTTAGACGGTGGTTTTCATAATAACAGTGTCGGATTTCGTTTAGCGATCTAGTCTGTAAATCATTTCCTATTTTGGTACTCAGCTAGTGACCATTTAGTATTGTTCTACCCTTGTTACTATTCGTTGATATTGTGTTGATGAATTGTTGTGTTGTACTCCTGTTGGTGTGATTGTTCTTGAGTGAATTTTTGATCAAGGTTGATAATGGACAATAAAAGGTCATATGCGACAATTTTAATTACGAATTCAGTGAGTTTAATTCATGATGAGGACAACAACAGTGTGGAGCAGTTCAACTCTATAATCGTAAAATACATTGGGGTAAGCGAATAAATTATTGCAAGAAGAGGTCATGCCATGAAAGATGTGCTGCAGCTGTAGTGAGCCACAATACCGAGCGGCCTGTCTATGTGGTCCAAATACATTTGCGTTCTAAGCTTAGTCCAACCTCGCATATCACTAAGAAGGAACAAAGACTCAAACGCAAGAATCTTGGAAACAAACTCAGACCAAAGAAAGTTGATATAAAAATAACTAACAATTCAGGACTGTGCTTTGTGGCGTCTTCATCGGAAGATAAGGTTGACAGCGTCTCGATTTGGTGAAGTTTGTAGAAGAAGGCAGACAACAGGCTGTACAGTTCTAGTAAACTCGATCGTATACCCAACAGAGTTTTCTAGTAAGGCAATAAAAAAAGGCAATACAAAAATCATTGGACACCGTAGTTCAATCTTGTGGTTTGTTTATTGATCGCACATATCCATGTCTGGCAGCATCACCTCCATCTACCTATTACAGTAGACAAGACATGTACTTAATCCGGGTATAAGCCTACATGTTTATTGCTTTGCAAAAACTACCTAACTGTTTCCTCTTATTTTGACGGTATAAGCACGGCCGATGTTAACTACGAGCCGTGAACAAAGAAATCTGGCAACGTAGGTGGTAGTGTTACTCCCGCCGCTGCTTGCTGCATCGACGCAACTCGTGCTCAAAACGCTGAGAAAACATAACCTTTTCAATTTGTGATTTTGGAATCCCAGAGGCTGTAATTGAGAGATACGCTTGTTTTCTAAGCTTCAAAGTGTGTGTATGTGTTCAAAGTAATCGGTGACTATAATATATGAGAAATAGACTCCAGTTGTAGTGCTTCTGTGCTTTTAAAAATAAACTAAGAAGTGTGACTGTGGCTGTTCGCGCCTCAGGGCGCTAAGTATTTCAACTATTGAAAACGTGCAAATTCAGGTTGTATTTTTCTTTTTTCATTTATCAAGTATTTGACGCAGACAATATGTCTCGTTGTTGCTGTGTTCCTTTATGCAATGCAAACTATAATTCTGCTTTGAAAACAGAAAGCTATGTTTCAACTTTTCGCTTCCCAAGTACCGAAAGTCTGAAAAACAAATGGCTTATGGCAATTCCCAGAAAAAATTGGACACCTTCAAAATATTCAGCTGTGTGCAGTCGTCATTTTAGAGAATCGGATATCATCAGGACAGAAAATATAGTTTTGGCGGATGGAACAGTCCAAAATGAATGAAGATGAAAGAAAATGCTGTTCCCTCCATTTTCTCAAACTTGCCATCATATCTTTCAAAAACTGAAGCACCCAAAAGAACTGACCCAATGCAAAGAAAACAAAAATTAATTGAAAAACATGAAAAAGCTATCCAGAATTTCGATGATATGGATAAGATCAAAGATAAATTTAGTTCAAAAATGTGGATTTGAAGTTATTTGTGTTGTTACTGATAATCACCGAATTAATAGAGCAATGTTCAGGAAATTAGCAAAGGATTCATCAGAAAATTATTCTATTCCAAATCCACATAATTCTGATAAGAACATATATTTAACTTATGATGTTGTGCATATTTTCAAGAGTATCAGAAATAATTGGATTAATTTAAAAAACCTAGACAAAACTTTTGTATATCCTAATTTTGACAATAATGATATTATTCAGTATGCTAAATTTGAAAACATTCGTGCTGTATATCAATTGGAAAAAGAAGCTGTAGTTAAGAAAGCATATAAATTAAATTATAAAACATTGCATCCAAATTCATTTGAAAGGCAAAATGTAAATTTTGTAGATAATTTATTCCATCACTCAACAATAGCTGCTATGAAAGAATTAAAGTTTAATGATGCTGCACACTTTTTGGAAATAATCAGGAATTGGTGGGATATTGTCAGTAATACAAGTGTAATGAAAGGAGAATTGAAGCGAAACGAATTTTGTAAGCCTATTACCAATAAATATGATTATAGAGTAGAATTTTTAAAAAAATTCCCGATATGGTTAGAAAAATTGCATATTCTAGAGAATAATAATGGACACCTGACACCAGAAACGTATACAGCTCTATATCAAAGCACGCTGACTCTACTTAATATAATTGAATATTCATTTAATCAATTTGACATTGAGTATGTATTGCCTGGAAAATTCACCACTGATAATTTAGAAAAACGATTTGGCAATTATAGACTTTTATGTGGCTGCAATTACAATGTGTCATATGATGAAATTTTAAATGCTGAACAGAACATACGGCTGAAGCATATTTTCAATGAAAAGAAATCGTCATTTTCTTTAGCAGATCGCGATTATGAGTACCTATTTGCAGAACGACTTATCTACGCGATATTATATGAAATAGGGCCACCAAATTATCTGAATACGTCCTTTCTTAGTCCGTACATTGCGCCGCAACGCTTGGTTTGTCAGCACGAAACAGTAGACAAAATTCGTCCAAAATACGGTTTGTAGAGGTTTGCGCGCTTCAAAATTGACGCTTTACTTTTTGATATCTTTGGATGAAATTTTCACAGAGTGCTGAAAACAAAACCCCACAGAAAAAGTGCGCACTTCAACCAATCATAAAACTTGTGCAAAAACAAAACTTCAAAAAGTGCTCCTATAGCACCCTGGGCAATTATCTTCTCAACATACTGTATGAATTTCATTCAAAAGTATTGAAAAGTGGAGTGTCAGTTTTGAAGCAGTTGAACCCTTGTAAACGGCTTGGAACTCACTGCGTCGGAGCCGCCTTAAGGGAAGTTTTATCAGTCCGATATCAGTAGCATGACTTGCAAGAAAGGTAACAAAACACTTTCTACTGATTATTCTACTCCATTCTTTTGAAGAATTCAACCCGAGATGGGGTACATACTTATGACAAAACAATTTTAATTTGCGAAATAACAAGTTCATTATCATATCGCTTAAATATCATCAACAATGACAGTACATATATATTTTTATACAGATAATCGACAATTAGACAGTAATTGTATATTGTATGATATTTATTTTTGGCACTTATGTATTATGTTTCAAATACTCATCAGACTTTTCGGGTATCTTGGTTGAGAAACGATTAGGTAACTCATGTATGGTCCTTTTATTTTAAGTTGTTGGCCTTACTTTGCCTCTCTATGACAACCATTATGGTAACCTTGTGGAATAGACACGTTCCATAAATATATCTCGTTTATAGTCTTCTTTCTTAATAATCAAACAACATTCAACAGCCATTATATAATTTGCCAGTATTTGTATCAATATTCATCAAATAGTAATTTTGTTTAATGGTGAGTCAAACCACATTAATGAAAAATAACAAGTAGGAACAGTAATTTACTCACAGCTGTATGATTCTAAGTTATGGAAAAGCTGGTTTCTCTATATCTGACTTGACTATGCACAATTTTAAGATTAAGCTGAATTGTCGAGTATGTAAATTATTGTCCTAAGTATTTTAAAATCTTTCATAAGGTTTTATTCGTTCCTGAAACAGAACCAAGTTCTAAACACATTTTTAGGGTGGTTCAAATTACACTGGACAACAAATTTTAGTTTTTTAATTGTATCTTGTGGGAAAAGTGCACTTCTTTGTTAATTTTGGGGCGCTGAATCCAAAAATGACAATGAAATAAAAAAATTAGTTGCGGTTTAGAAAAAAAAACTTTTTATTTTTAAGGATATATTAAAAAAAGTAGCAAGATTCATATACTTATAAGAATCACTATATGCGCTGTCTTTTTGCTGTTCTTTTATGGATCGTTTCTGGAGCATCTCTACCAAGAGTCCAACAGTAGTCTGCAAGCATGGAAGGATTCCACTTTCCCTGGCACCTTTTTTCCATTGTTGAAATATCCTGATGAAAATGTTCAGGTCCAGTGTGAGTGTAGGAAATGTATCTTAAGAGACATATTACAGCCCATCTTTTGATACGATGACAGCATATTTTTGACAAGGGTTTTATAGTTGCCAGCTTTTCTATTTCCCAAGAAATTAGTGACCACCAGACGGAAATCATTCCAAGCAGTTTTTTAGTGTTTTCAATCTGTGTATCTTTCAAAATATTTCGAATCTGTGGCCCAACAAAAATACCTTCTTTAACCTTTGCCTCACTTAGTCTTGAAAATTTCTGACGCAGGTATTGAAAAGCTGACCCATCTCTATCTAATGCATTGACAAAGTTTTTCATTAGGCCCAACTTGATATGCAGTGGTGGTAATAAATTTTTTTCCGAATCTACTAATGGCATATGCTGTACATTTTTTTGACCTGGCTCTAGGAATTGACGAACAGGCCAGTTTTGTCTGGTGTAATGAAGTGCCTTTGCCCGACTGTCCCATTCACACAAAAAACAGTAAAACTTTGTGTAGCCTAGCTGCAGCCCAAGTAAAAGTGCAACAACTTTCAAATCGCCACAAATATGCCATTGGTGCTCATCGTATTTTATGCATGTCAGTAGGTACTTCATATTGTCATATGATTCTTTCATGTGAACTGCATACCCTACAGGAAGAGATGGTAAAATATTTCCAATATGCAATAACACTGCCTTTAAACTCAATGTTGAACTGTCTATAAACAATCTCCATTCTTCTGGGTTATAGTTTATATTTAAAGCCGCCAGTAAGCCGTTAATGTTACTGCAGAAAACCAAGTTATTCTCCATATTGAAAAATGGTTCTAAGTCTTTGTGGCGTTTACGAAAAACACATACCGAAACATCGTCTTCTAACAAGTTCCACTGCTGCAGTCTTGATCCAAGTAACTCTGCCTTACATTTTGGAAGTTCTAAATCTCTTACAAGATCATTTAATTCTGACTGTTATTTTGTGCGGTTGGTGGCATGACGTGCTCGATATAAAATCAGGATCTCTTGACGTTGATGGCATATCTTCTTCCTGACGAATCACTCGATCGCCATGATCTGATTCGTTTTCTGATTCGCAAGTGTAGGATTCTGGGGGTTTTGGAATAGGATTTTCGTCACTGTGAGGCACATGTCTCATCGCAGATGGTATGTTTGGGTAGTTAATAACCGATTTTTTTTCCTTGGACATACCTGTGGCTTGTCCAACACAAGGTACCATGCAAAAGTAACAATCATTAATATGATTTGTAGGCTCTCTCCAAACCATTGGGACAGCAAAGCGCATAGACCGTTTTTTGCCATTTAACCAGCTCCTCAGACTTGAAGCACATGTATTACAGCAGATTTGGAGTGCCCACTGTTTGTCTTGATCACCTAGTTTACAACCGAAATAAAGCTGATATGCCTTTGTTATTAGTGGAGTAATAGACCATCTCTGAGACGCAAAAGTCACATCACCACACACGTAACAAAACTGATCTGGATTGTTTACACACGTTCGAGACATCTTGCATGAACGCTGTCAGCCAACTGAGGAAAAAATGGCTAATATAAAACAATATAATGTACACGTATGTATAACGTAACACAATCATGCCGATTTCATCATCTTTCCTTGCCGAATATAAAAATGTAGCACGTGCATTCTTGTGAATTACAGTATATTAACACTGTCACAGCAGGAACACATGTAATTACCGTATCTCTAAAACTTGAACTAATATTGAAAACATAAGTTTCATTCCGGTTTTAGCACATTAAAAATAGTAATATTTTGTTGATTTTATTTAGGATATTTTTTGGCTGTTGATCAGTGTTATTGTCGTGAGAAAAATATCATATTAACTATGTATAAAGCTACTACAAAATACTGAAAGTAAATTAGAATAATATAGGGTGGAATATCATTTGTTTTTCTTTTAAGTTGGTATTATTTTGACAGTTGGTAACACTTCCATGCTCAAGATATTGACAGATATATTGTATCGAAGTTCCGCTGTGAGTAATGGATCGTTTTAATCTTGAACAAAAGTGGGAAATATTGAAAAACTATTTTCAAAGTGAGTTCTGCGTTGCAGAAACTTTGCGAAAATTGAGAATACTATTTGGTCGGAGCGAAGCTCCGTCCGCGACTTGTAGACAATAAGGTTCGTAAAACTGGCGGGTTCCACCTGTACGTAAGAACGTCAACTCGTCACAGAGCACAAGTGGGCATCAGTTGCACTTCTGTGCGGAGAATATGGCATAACGGCTAGGGATTATTTTCCTACAAGGTGCAAGAGTTGAAACAGAATGACGATCCGCTTGGACATCGTTTCTCTGGATGGGCTCCCAATCGTTTGGAAACCGACGTAAATTTTGGTCGCCTAATCATCTTTTCGGACGAAGACCATTTCCATCTGGGACGGTAAGTTAACAAACAGAAAACTGTAGGATCTGAAGTTCTGACAATCCACATGTCATAGAAAAACCAATGCATCCAAAAAGACTAACTGCTTGGTGTGGTTTTTGGAGTGGTGGGATTATTGAGTCCCTACTTTTTTTAAGATAAGATATTAACAGCGTGACGGTAAACGGGAAACGCTATAGAGACATGTTGAGGAGTTTTTTGTGGGCACTATCAGACGCTCGCGGATTACTTCCTACGGGGTACTGTTAAGGCCCGCTGTTACACTAACGATCTTCGAACAATTGATGTTCTTAAGGAGAATATCCGTCTAGCTATTGATGAAATAGACTCACAAACTATCGAAAATATGCTTCAAAATTTGGGTTAAGAGGATGGGCTACTGCCAGGCCAGCCGCGGCAGCCATGTAACTGAAATTGTTTTTCATAAATAATCGGAAGGTGTATTCTGTTAAATAAAGTATCGAGTGTTACATATTATTGAAGTGTAGTTTTAATAACAATTAGAAAAAGAAACCAATGGATGGCCCGCCATTTGTTCACTTAATTCGCCATAACTGTCTATGAGCCCCTTCCCACTTCAGTTGGCCCAACTATTGAAATCTTAGTTTCTTTCTTATCAAAAAAATGAAACATTCCATGTTGACTGTCTGAAGAGAAAAGTGAAATTTCCAGCATCCATTATGGTCTGTGGCAGTATGTCATCAAAAGGAGTAGGAAAACTTCATTTTTTTGATGGAAATGTGGATACAAACAAATATTTGGCAATTTTAGAAGAATCGCTTTTACCAGTGATGGAAGAATGTTTGACATCCGGCCAAGATGTTGTGTTTCAGCAAGATGGTGCAGCGTGCCATACCTCAAAAAAGGCTATAAAATGGAGGGAAGAAAATAATGTTCCACTTTTGAAATGGGTTTCTAGCAGTCCAGATCTGTCACCTATTGAAACTTTGTGGCACAAGGTGAAAAAGGTTCAACGACAACATCCTGCTCGTACAATCACCGAACTGAGACAAAAGCTTCAAGAAATATGGGATTGTTTTACACCAGATTTTTGCCAAAACTAGGTTAACACTATGCCCCAAAGAATTTCAGCCGTAATAAAAGATAAAGGTGATGTTACCCAATGGTAATCTTTCAATTGTTGCTTTGTTAACTTCGGGCATTTATTCGCACATTGTTTATTTGTTCTATTAGTTAGATGTCTAAGTGATTTCAAATATGTATTTTTTACGACTAGAGTGTATCTAAAATGTTTCTGAGAAAATAAATTGTTTTAGAAGTAAATAGTTTCGTCATGTTTAGTTTATAAAGGTACAAATCTTGAAGTGGGCCAACCTAAGTGGGAGGGGGCTCGTATATGTTGTTCTGTGAAAATGTTTTGCTATTATTTACAGGTTACATGTAATAGCTTAATGGATTTTAAGGACTTATAGATGTTTCTATAGGTCCCTTGTTACTCACAAATTTTACTAATATTTCTCAATAGCGGTTATTTCATGTGATAAACATGCTAGAAGAAGCACCTAAGCATTCCAGATCCTCACGGAAAACCTGGTTTTATAGAAAAAATACAACAAATACTCATAAATGATTTTCATGATTTATCCCAACTTTGTCGTTTTCGATAAAAGCCCTATACAATAGTTAGCAGCAATTTTGCAGTCCAGCTATATACTGTAGGTCATACAAGGTACCAAACCATTCAAAACCCCGTTGCTATGACGTTGCCCATCGTGCAGAAAACATAATGTAACAAAAACATGCCTTCATGTTGTGATACTAGCACGCTTCTAGTATAGCATGCCAAGACTCTGAAACTACGGTGCATTTTATGAAACTTCTTGCTCTAAAAAAGATCTGGCCAAACGGCCCAGAATTGTGGAACAATATTCGGCTATATTCTGAAGTTTTGCTAGCTTACTAAGTTTCTTGAGGCATTTCGTGTGTGCAGGTTTATGCTCAATCGGATTTTATTCATTTCAGACCAAACGTTGCCGTTCAGGTAGAAGGTAGACAGGACAGGTATGAGAGAATGCTCAGACAAGGACATAGACAGTTCATTATACCTTGCAAGATGTCCAACGAGTCTCATACGGTCGAGATGAAAAAGAAGATTTTGGAGATGTTGAAATGTGGCAAGCGGATATCTCAAAGCGAGGCACGGAAAACCTTTAGTCATTATTTGATGAGAATCTTACGGCGAATCGCCCAAATGCCAGAGCAAGAAGACCACGTGGATGTGGTACTAAAGTTCCTACAAAAAGCGTCAAACTACCTGCGAACCCCATTCAACGTGAAGACCCCGAGCTCGAAAATGAGCATCAAAGACAAGACGGCGATAGTAGCTAAGCAATTGAACGACTTCTTATATCTGTACAACCGAGAAACGGACCTGTTCGTAGATAAAACTGAAAAACCTAGTCAAATCCCCGCAAAGCTGTACAATGAGTTTGTCGAGCATGCAATAGAAAGTGACTTAGAGGAAGTACTGATCTATCAGACAAGCTTAACTACGCCGATTCAGAGCACGGGTATAAAGGGAATGGTGAAATGTATCCCAAGATCAGGCAAAAATGCTTACGCCTCCAGTCGTTGGCCGTCTAAGCCGAAAGTAAAAGGTATGAGGGTTTGGTAGTATCTAGTGAGACTTTTGACTCATTTTTACCGTTTCATGTAGCGACTACGGCAAGATAACTTCTAAGGTATCGCAAAAAGGAAGAAGGGTTTTTAAGGCGCCCTAGAAGACGTATACAGGTAGAAAGAAATTCAATTCACCTACTTGGACACTTGGACCCGCAGCAGCTGTTAAATAAAAGTCAAAGGACAAAATATTGTCCAACTTCCTGTCTAGCTTCCAATTTTTAACAACTGTAAGAATATGTGTCTGTGTAGAACTCTATATAAAACTGTAAGCCAAACGTTCGTGCTACTGGACTGTTTCATATTCCATTGACCATTTAGGAAACAAAATACTATCTAGATCCGAAAATACAATTTTTTGACATCGTATTCAGTGCTGGCCAAAGTCTTTTCCTCTTTTAACGCGAATCAATCCAGGTTCTTAAAAATCATATACAGGGTGTTTCAGTTTATTGTTGCACAACTTTAAGATTCGATAGAACTTTTAAAATTAATGCATAAAGTCTATATAAACATGGTCGAAAAATGCGTGGCTTCCGACATACAGGGTGTTTAAATTTACTTTTTAAAATAGTTTTTTTTTAAATATTTCGAACAATATTTGATGTATAATAGTGAAAATTGGTATACAAGGGTTTTTTGGTACGACAAAACGAACCATGGGCATAGCTTTACTGTAGCCGCTAGAGGGCGCTCTCTACTGTACCTGTAGTGTATTAAAATCACCGAAAAATTTTTCTTAGTGCAATTTTTTGCTTTTTAAATAAAAAAACTGATTCTTCGCACTTTTCAACATAAAAAAGCTCTCCTGTGAGTTTTCGTTATAGTTAGCCGTTTTTGAGATATTTCGATTTTTAAGGTTCAATGCATTTTTAATTATTTATGGGAAAATAATATTTTTTTTAAATTTTCGGTTTGAGCATTACAAGTAATTAAGATGATCGTTTAGATTGTGTTTTTAAACACAGCAATAATTCCTAACTCCAAATAAACACAAAAAAACTGAATATTAATTTGTTTAATTTTCCAATATTATTTTTAACAAATTAAATTAATTATTTACAACTAAAATGCTATTGGATAGTTAGAACAAACATACAAAATCTAAAGTAGTTGCTCGAAATGTAAACCCAATTGTTCAATACACAATTCACATCTACGAATGATCGAACAGCATTATTCAAATAAGGCCTTATTTCATCACATGCATTCCTGATTCTGTCTATTAGCATATCTCTTGTGGTTACGGGAGTCTGGTACACTTTTTCTTTTGGAAATCCGCACACAACGAAATCTAATGGATTTAGGTCAGGGGATCGTGGAGGCCAGGCGATTGGTCCTCCACGGCCGATCCATCTTTCTGGATAATTTTCGTCCAGCCAGTTTCTAACTATTCTCGAATAATGAGCTGGACAACCATCAAGCTGGAACCAGGCCAATCTTCTTAAATCTAACATTATCACACATATTTGCATGTTCAGCGTTTAAAAATTCCAAAAAGGTTGCAGCATTTAACCTTGCAAGCAAAAGGTAGGGTCCAAATAGTCGATTACGGTAGATACCAATCCACACGTTCACACTAAATTCATGCTGAAAATTTCTTTCCCGAACTGCATGCGGATTTTCATGCGACCAAATAAGTTGATTATGAAAATTTACCACTCCACGTCTAGTGAAGCATGACTCATCGGTCAATAAAACGTTACTTAAAAACTCCCTATTATTATCAGTTCTATCAAGAATCCACTGACAAAATGTAATTCTTCGTTCTCCGTCCCCTTGCTGTAGTCCTTGCACAGGTTGCAAATGGTAAGGACGTCTATGGTCATTTCTAAGAACACGGTGAACATGGCTTGCTGAAATTTCCAAGGCACCAGGAACTCTCCTAACACTTGTGGCCGGATCTCTATCAAACTCACGCAGAATCATACGGGTAAATCTGCGCTGACGAACATGTTTTGATCCCTTTGAGAATTCCAAAACCATTTTCAATTATTTGGCGATGCACTCTTACAAGTACTGAGCGAGTTGGATGTTGTCTGTTTGGAAATCTTCGTGCGTATTCTCTGGCTGCTTCTGCTGCGTTTCCATTTACAAAGCCATACACAAAATGAATATCTGCTAACTCTTGATTGGAGAATAAAAATGGCATTTTTATAAAACTCACAATTGCAAAAAAACGTTTCAGGTTTCAACAGACAACAAAACTAACTGTCAACTAATTGACGTTTAACCTTATTCTGCTTTCAATTTCAAAAGTATTTGCAGGCACAGCCTACTTCTAAAAATTATCGAGATACTGACTTCTTAACGTTATTTTATCATAAATAATTAAAAATGCATCATACCTTAATAATTGAAATATCTCAAAAACGGCTAACTATAACGAAAATTCACAGGAAAGCTATTTTATGTTGAAAAGTGCGAAGAATCTGTTTTTTTATTCAAAAAGCAAAAAATTGCACTAAGAAAAAATTTTCGGTCATTTTAATACACTACAGGTACTGTGAAGAGCGCCCTCTAGCGGATACAGTAAAACTGTGCCGATGGTTCGTTTTGTCGTACCAAAAAACCCTTGTATACCATATTTTCACTGTTATACATCAAATTAATATTGTTCGAAATATTAAAAAAAAACTATTTTAGAAAGTAAATTTAAGCACCCTGTATTTCGGAAGCCACGCATTTTTCGACCCATGTTTATATAGACTTTATGCATTGATTTTGAAAGTTCTATCGAATCTTAAAGTTACGCAACAATAAACTGAAACACCCTGTATTATGTGGTTGTTTGTGACTAGCTGCAAAACCCATAGTTATCCTGAATTATCAAGTGGGAAGCTTAAGAGGGCAGGTCATTGGAGCACGTTCCACTTTCCCCAACAACCCCCTCTTATTTTTTGAAGGCGTCAAGGTGCGAAGCTGAATTTCAGGATAGTGATAGTGATGCATGTTAGCGTGAAAGTGACAGTTGGACATTTCAAGATGGCCCCCTGCTAATTTTTTAACGCACCGTATTTTCAAGCTCCTCAAGATTAATTTATAACCGTTGAATGTGAAGTCACCTTCTTTTCAAATTTTTCAACTGGCACGCAGGCTCTTCGAAGTGAGCTTTATATGACATACTGCGTTATCGTTTTGATGACTATGTCAGGCATTTTGAACGGTAGTACATTCATATTTTAGAGTTATGGAGTACTGTAAGGAGCTTCAAAATTAGGTTTCACAAAACTCCTTATTCTACAGGGTGGCCCATAAGTCCTTTGAGCTGGAAAAAAAGGAATAAAACCAAACTAGTTACATTATGAAGAATTATTATATTTGGTTATCATCTTTATTGAATGGGAATTATGTTTTAAAAATCACATCGTCTAAATGCAATCCATTACGATCACGGCACTCATATAAACGACGTCTAAAATTGTCGATGACTGCGCGGCAAGTCAACACTGTAATGCTTGCCATTTCTCTTCGGATATTTTCTTTCAGGACATCAACTGATCGCGGAGTGGTGTCGTACACTTTACTCTTGAGGTAGCCCCATAAAAAAAAGTCCCTTGGGGTCAAATCTGGACTACGTGGTGGCCAGGAAATGTCTCCTCTTCGAGAAATTACTTTGCTGGGAAAAAGTTGACAGACGACGGGCATAGAAGTGTTGGAGGTGTGGGCAGTTGCTCCGTTCTGTTGAAACCAGGTCTGCGTATATAGCCTGTAAAATTCTGCAACGCTGGTGTCAAAAACTCTTCTATCATTGCTACATACCGCTCCGAAGTAACAGATAATGCGCGACCTCTGTCGTCCTCAAAAAAATAAGGGCCTACGATGCCATGCGCTGACATAGCAGCCCAAACTGTAACTTTAGGGCTGTGTAAGGGCTTCCGATGCTTACGCCTTGGATTTTCGGGGCTCCAATAACGGCAATTTTGTTTATTTACATGCCCGTTTAAATGGAAGTGAACCTCGTCCGAGAACAACACATTATTGAGCGAAGAAAATCGATTCAACATTTCATTCGCAAAGTTTAGTCTCTGAATAGCATCATTATCTTTTAATTCCTGCACTAACTGAATTTTGTAAGCGTGCAGACGTAAATCTTTCCTTAAAATCCGCTGTAAAGACGTTCTGGGTACGTTTAGTGCACTGGAACGCTTACGAGTAGACTGGGTAGGATTTTGACGAACAGACTGTGTCACAATGTTGATGTTTTCTTCAATACGAGTTGTCCTTGGTCGACCCCACCGCTGTTTATCCAACGTCGAACCAGTCTCTTCGAACTTAGCAACCCAGTTCTTAATCATTTGAGCTGTTGGACACTTTGTAAAATTGTGGTATTCTCGATATTTACGCCGCGCAATGGTTGCCAAATCATTATTTTGATAAAACGCGCGCACACAAAAGGCACGATCCGCTCCAGTGAAACACTCCATGGCGACTGAATTCCCAGACACTGAAGATACTGCCCCCACCTCGCCCGCGCCGCTCACGCTCACCCGTTAAATTTTATTCAAATTTGAAATTTCAAAGGACTTATGGACCACCCTGTATTTAAAAAACTTTCAAGATTACAATTATTAATCCATCAATTCCATCTCAATAAATTTCAGATTGGTAACTTGACCTATTGAAAAAATGGGGCTAGGAAGGCAAAATTTCACGAGCACCTTGAACAGGCAGGATGATTGTCGACATGTTACCGTTATATTGTGTAGTTTCGGATTATATTTACGTCTATATGGAAATTATATTAGTATAGACCCATTATGGCACACTTGCTGTACCAAAAAACATTTAATGACAAACGTCTACGATAATTGATTTGACTTACAGAATTTGTGAACGCTACTGACCGATCTCTAATAGAACTAATGCAAACAAGATGATAATTGTCTTTTATTTAGCATATTTTTTAATTAGACAGCCTAATGATGGTATCATCAGTGATGGACGTTTACGCGTATATTTTAACTGTTTGCGTATCGACGTATACAAGGTGTACATTATAGGTATACAATGTGTATACAATATGTATGCAATATATACAATATAAACAATGGTGTAGATAATGTATAGAATAACATAGAGGAGGTTGGGTTTATTGGCAAACACCAAAACATTGCTGAGCTATAGTTGGCGCGCTACAAAAAAATGAGAAAATCGATGTCAGCTACATGTCGGTTGAAACTGCACACGCAGGGTAATTTTTGTTGTAACGTAATATGCGGCTACAGTGGCGGCTCGTGGCAAGATAAAACAGGTGTTCTGCAAATCCGAACTTACCTATTTTTTATGTCAGTTCGATCCTGCGCTCCTTCTTGGCAGTAAATTTGTCGATTACCTTCCCGTTGAAATTTTCCATGGCCGAAATAAATTCCTTTTCAATGGACAGCATCGACAACGCTGTAAGGCGATCCTGGGTCATAGTATTACGAAGAAAAGTCTTGATTCTTTTCAATGTTGAGAAATTTCGCTCAGCCTCTGATGTTGACATAGGAGTTGTAACAATAATTTCTAATAGCCTTTTTGTTTCTTTTAGTGTTTCCTCCAACCTTTTTTGTATCAAAAATTTCAAAAGAGACAGAGTTCCATGTAAATCTCGGCAATCATTCCTTGCATAAATAACAGATAACTCTGTCTTTAAACGACTTTTTTCTAATTCGGGATAAGCCAAGCAGGTAGTTTCCAACTTGTCATCAGGAAACTTACCACAGTATTCTCCGTTAACATTAGTGAAATTTTCATCTATTTCTTCCATGCATTCAATGAGTAATTCTCTGTTCTCAAACACTACATTTATTCATCGAATATTAAAATTCCAACGAGTTGTTGCTCCTTGAGGAATTTTTTTCCCCACAATTCTATTCAGTACCTCTACGCCTTGGGGAGAATTATTAGAAAATCCTGGAGTATCTTTCAAATCCCCAAAGAACACCCGAACTTGAGCAGCTTGGGACATAATCAGGTTTAACTAATGCGCATAGCAATGCACATAGTGAGCAAATGGATATCTTTGTTTAATTTTTGCCTGTACTCCAGCATTATGTCCGCTCATTATCGCGGCTCCGTCATAGCTTTGTGAAATCAGTTTGTTAGGTAAATTTCCTATTAATGGATCTACGACGCTCAAAATATGTCTTGTGAGAGTATCCGAGTCACATTTTTCGGAATTCATATAATTCCACAAACGTTCTACTGGTTCGCCGTTAAATACATATCTGAACATTGTTACCAGTTGGGTTTTCCCCGAAATGTACGTTGTTTCGTCTGCTATTATCGCCCTGTTAATCTGTTTTATTATTTCTTCATGACAAACTTCAAGAATCCAATCCAGTAGATCGTTTTGTATATCTTTCGAAGTTCCTTTAAATATTGAAGCATTTTTATGTGTTCGCTTAAGGTTGTATCAAGCTCAGCAGAAAAGTAATCACTCCACGAAATATTCCCGGGTTTTGGGAGCTCTCGGTTTCGTTGTGGCCCCGTAGCGCCAATTCAAATGCTCCGCAAAATTTTATACCGAGCACCGACCGACCAATCAGATATCGTACTTCGCATTAGATCTGTACGGATCTGTAAAACGTGCAGCACATGCATATGCTTAAATCGCGCATTTGATTTTGTAGAGAGAGAGAAAAGAAAGCGCGTGCGGCTTATGTCGAGGTAGTGCACAGACCCTTTTTAAGTGGCCCATGAATAATGTTATGCTGCGGTCGCGACGAAAATGACAAGAACACAATTGGTCGATTATACTAGCTTTCTCAATACAAAATAGACTCGACGCTGTGTCTTGCGGGGGCAGCGTTGCTGGTATTGTTTCTATTTGCGTGATAACATGGAAAATAAGTAATGATCAAATTACTACTGCTTTTTTCTGTTAAGGCAAAAGTTTTGGCAATTCTGCAGCTCCGCCCCTGTGCGGCTATTATCGGCGCTACGTGCCTAATAGAAGTATTTGTATAGTAAGAAGTAGTAAGAAAGCATGTGCATTGCATTACTCCTTACAGGTGACCAATATCATGCCAATCTAAATATCGACGATCCTGACGAACCTGAATGAATTCAGTCAAATGAGTGGATTTTGTTCCCAGAATGTTTTGTCATATTTTATAAATACCCCTAATATATTAAAAAATAAAACTTTGTATATATATGGGGTTGTCCAAAACGGATGCAGGAAAGTAAACGCATATTAAAACAAGAAAGATTGATATTCAAATCAAGTTGGGTACTTTATTTTGAAGGTTCATTTATACCATTTATGTATGGAAAATAATATCGCTCAAATGTTCACCACGACTGGATTTACAGACGTCCACTCGATGGTCGAAATTTTCAATGACATTTTCCAACATGGTCGGTTCTGTGGCATTTATCTCGGCAATGATGTTGTTTTTGAGTTCTTGGAGGGTGACTGGTTTGTTGACGTAGTCTTTGCTTTTCAAATATCCCCATAAAAAGACGTCCAAGGGAGTCAAATCGCACGATCTTGGTGGCCATGGCACATTTCCTCTGCGCGAAATCACGCGATCACCGAAGAAGGACTGCAATCGATGGATATTGACGTTGGTTGTGTGGCATGTTGCACCGTCTTGTTGGAAATAAACATCGTCCATATCCATTCCTTCAAGTTCCGGCAAAAAATAGTCCTCTATCATCACGTGATATCGCTCAGAATTGACGGTAACGGCGTCCCCGGCCGTATTTTCGAAAAAGTAAGGTCCGATGGTACCTTTTGACCACAATGCACACCACACAGTCACTTTTTGAGGATGCATCGGCTGCTCTTGATACTCACGGGGATTTTCGTTCACCCAGATGCGGCAGTTTTGCTTGTTTACCGTCCCATTCAAAGTGAAATGCGCTTCGTCGCTGAACATGATTTTTGATGAAAAATTGGCATCAATTTGGCGGTGTTCAAGGAGCCAATCTGAGAACGGTCGGCGCGAAAAATGGTGGGCCCGACGCAGCTCTTGCGTCAATTGGATCTTGTAGGCGTGTACATTCAAATCCTTGTGGAGAATGCGGAGCAAACTGGTTCTCGAAATGCCCAATTCTTAGGATCGACGCGTTGTTGATTGTTTCGGATCGTCTCTCACACTCTCCTTCACAACAGCAATATTTTCCGGTGTGCGAACGCTCCTTGGCCGGCCAGAGCCTGGCAGATTTGCCACAGAACCTGTTGCCTCGAATTTACGCACCAGACGACCGATGGTTGTTTCGTTTGGGCGGTTGTTGCGACCGAAATGTTCACGAAGCGCGCGAAACGTGTTTTTTATTTTTGCACCATTTTTGTAGTGCTCTTGAATAACTTTAATGCGGTCTTCAATCGAATACGACTCCATAGCGTTCAATGGTAAACATTCAACTAACAAAATGACATGTCGGTGACAGAAAATAAAGATGGCGTCTATGTCAAATTGACGTTTACTTTCCTACGTCCCTATTTATTAGAAATTGCGTATCAATACCAAAGGAATCATTGATCATATTCTAACGTAGTATTTTTGTATTGCGATATTGTTGTAACAACATAAACTGAGTGAGTAGTTCTAATTATAAGCAATTAACTATTAATTTAACTTTTTTAATAAAAGGAGTATACATAATTTAACATTTACTTACGTTTAATTAAAACTGAAATCAAAATTAAATTGAAATTACACCAGAAATGATCTTGGAGGTGATAACTTGAGTTATGTAAAAAAATAAAACATTTCTATTTTAGTCTGCCATAGAGCTGTAATACTCATACTTTAAAGCCTTTTTCAGGGAGGTCAAGCTATTGTTAAATAAATCTATATTACAGAAATTATTATGATCTTTTTGAGCCCTGAACAAAGGGGAATTAAGACCAAGATTGGTTCTACGGAACGGTATTCTAAACACATGATAGGTTCTAAACGTTCTATCAGGAGTGTTAAAGTTCAAGTTTGCCAAAAGATCCGGACAGTCAGTGAGGCCATTCAACAATTTATGGACACAGCAAATGTCAGAAATCGTTCTTCTATCTTTTAAGGAAATAATTTACTTTTGCTCTTAAATAAATTTAAGAGCAAAAGTAAGAGATATACAAATTGTGTTATCACTTTGTCATACAGTGTCACTAACCTAGCAACTTTGCCACCCGAAATGTAGCCTGTAGACGAGAGGATCAAATATTATTATGTGTCTATGCTCAGCCCTAGCCAGATATTTGTCTTATAATTTGACATTAAAAAGGGCTTGGATTGTTTGAGAAGTTTTGTAACTAGTACTCAAACAGGATGATGCAAACAGAAGACACAATATGTCGAGGGTAGAAAATAGATTCGAAATTAACACGAAAAGTTCATTATAAAGAAGAATTCAAAAATGTTCCATTATGGAGATACATGAAAGAATTATAATCTTTGAAGTAAATTAAGGTATCGATTCAAAATTGTGTACATTATGACACATATATAAAAAAAAAATTCGTGTCCGATTATAAAAGGGGCATAGAGGTAAGGAAACTTCGACCCGATTTTTAAACCACACAAGAAGTGCAACTAACATCTTTATGAAGACAACCTGTAAGTTGTTTAGAGGCTAATCAGCTTCAAGAGCTACATACGTGAGATTTCACAATTTAGTTCAGTATAAAAAAAGGGTTTTCAGTTTGAAATTAATGTTTTCCTAACCTAAATACCACGCGACCCGTATCTTTAATTCGTATGCATGGTCTACTAGCCACTGATGGTATACACCATATAAGCAAGTGGCTACATCTCCAACTTTATATCAAGTCAAAATAGGTGAGTTGATGGCCTGGCGCTTTTCCAATGTCATAGCTGCCATCCTAGCTTTAACCAGACATGACTTAACGAAAAAAATGTCAATTATTTTTGTTTTCTTCTTTACCGGAGGACTAGTATTATTTCTGTTCCTGCTTTTTCACACAGCCAAAGAAGACCATGACCAGATTTCTCTTGAGGAACTTTTTGAAATAAATATATCACAGCTGACTAATTTGTTATTAAATAGAACCCCA